TCGTGGAGAATACAACAAGCATGCTCAGTTGTGGATGGACAGTATTCATTGCCAATTGCTTGGATCGCTGGCTATTCTGTCTACAGAGGTGTCAGTCTTACTGTTGACTTACCTGACTTTGGAAAAATGCATCTGCATAGTTTATCCCTTTAGGTGTTTGAAGCCCAGAAAATGCAGGACAATTTCCATTTTGATTCTTATCTGGATAATTGGGTTTGCTGTTGCTTTTATCCCACTAAGCAATAAGGAATTTTTCAGGAACTACTATGGCACCAATGGTGTCTGTTTTCCTCTTCACTCAGAACAAGCAGAAAGTGCAGGAAGTCAGATTTATTCTGTTGTCATTTTCTTAGGTAAGTTGCATTTCTTCTTTATATATGATTAGAGCTGTAATTGAGCTTAATTTTCAGACAAATAAGATGGCTTTGCTGTGATGTTCACACCTCGTATTTAGATGTTCCATTAAGCACTTAAATACTTTTTCCAGTCTGAATATTTTACTGTATTTAGATACTTATTTATCTTAAAATGCAGGAAGGATTGAAAAGGTAGAAAGAAATTAATGACTATTAAAGTTCCTGAATGAATAGACTTTGTCAGGAAAGCAGAGACCAGAGGAGAACTATGTAGTTTGGATCAGATGGCAGCTATTTGTCAGGTGTCAATGAATGATATAAATACCTGAATAAAGGCAAAAATTCAGTGCTCTGGTGAAAACAGACTCTGTTCACTTAATTTGATGGGGCTAGTTTAGATGAAACATTCTTCTTTACTACTCACCCTGTAAATAGGTGATGTGGAATTGCCATTATGCTGTTAAATTATAATCAATTTTAACTTCTTAAACAGGTGTAAACTTGGCGGCTTTCATCATCATTGTGTTTTCCTATGGGACTATGTTCTACAGTGTTCACCAAACAGCTATTACAGCTACTGAAGTTAAGAATCATGTTAAAAAAGAGATGATCCTTGCTAAACGTTTTTTCTTCATTGTATTTACTGATGCACTATGCTGGATACCCATTTTTGTTTTGAAACTCCTTTCTTTACTTCGGGTAGAAATACCAGGTAAATCCTCTCTTTTGTGAGGCTGTTTTAACTATATGAAGAGTGTTGTTTCTAATTCAGAAGAAAAAGAATTTAGTATATTCAACTATATTACTATAATGAACTATGTATCTCTATACATGTACACAGAATATAATGAACTATATAGTTTTACTACTGAATTATATTGCTATATCTACATATATTATATATATATTAGTCGCCTTTGAGTCAGAATTACATTGGCTTTCCTCCTTTTATGGCTTTTGCCTGTTCTGTTGCCTAAATAAGGCTCAGGACAATTCAGTGTTTCCTATCTAGAATTAACAATAGAATTGTTATCCTGAAATAACTTTCTTCTACAATTTGGTACTTATAGTTCAAAACAGTGTTGTATAAATCTCTCTTACCTTCTTCATTCTATGAATATATTCCCATGTAAAAATAACATAACTTAAAAGATTAAAAATTGCACCTTATTTGTTTTATTCTCTTCGCAATACCAGTACATGCCAGAAAAAAAAACAGCCCCATTATGTAGGGCTTGTAAACCCTGTTTACATGTGAACATGAACATTACCAGCAGCAAGAGCAGATCCAGACTCAATGTACAGATATGTGTCACACTACTACATTGGTGAGAAAACATTTTGTCTCAGAGGATGGTCTAGTGTGTGGTATCCCTGCCCATGGCAGAGGGGTTGGAACTATATGATCTTAAGGTCCTTGCCCACCCTAACAATTCTACAGTTCTATGATTTTGTCTTCTGTGCTGACTAGGAGTGTTGGGAGTCAGTCACCTTTTCAAAGTTTTGACTGACATTTCAAATGCCTGAAAGTTACATTGATTATGTCAAATATTTTTAATTATTTTAAATCTTCATGAAGTCATCAATCCACCTATGAAACTTTAAAGAAAACATTGTGAGAAGTAGAAGCAAATGTATTCTGAATCAAGACACCTTGAAGAAATCTTCAAGGTTCAGCAAAGGGTGATCTTGGGTTTAATAAATTAATGTTCTGTGTTAGATAAGCCAGATTAGACAGTAATTACTCATTTCATAAAATTAAAGACATCACAGACAGTTGCCTAAATTAACAGAAGTTTTAAAGCCCATTTGATAGCATTCTTTTTCCTTGTGGATACACTGTGACAGCTTTTGAATTAAGCATCTTTTTGTTTCCAAACTGTAACCATGTGATAGGCATCAACAGGAATGTATTGATATTGCAACAAAGTTGTGAAGCTGGGAGGCAGGGAGGGAGTTACTTAAGCTTGGGGAGTTCTGTAACTGTTTTATAAACCAAACAGTGCAATGGAGGGCACCCACTAACATCTTTCAGCAGTTTAATCCTGCCCCTTCTCTGCCTGCCCCTCAGGTAACGTAGCTCTCAAACAGTGAGGATGAGAAAAGGATGCTGTAGAAATGCACACAGACTCTGATATAGGCAGGAGAACAGGAAACCTTCAGAAAGGGAGTGGCAACACAGAAATTCTTACTGAACGGGCAAGAAGGAAATAAGGAGGATGTGTACAGCGCCCTCTGTGGGAGGAAGACAGGAGAAGCCCTGATGCAGAGGAGAAAATCAGCGTCTGAGGGGATACAGCAACTGGGGGATGCTGCTTTGCAGGATGGAACATCAGGGACATCGTTAGGACTGCACGTCACTAGACATGGAAAGAGGATGGGGAACAGAGATCAGGAAGAGACAGGAAACAAAGCAGAGACAAAAAGTTTTGGGGCAAGAAAGTCGGGTTTGGCAAGAGCAAAAAGTGTGCCAGGGCAAATGGGAAGTTATAGCACAGAAAAGTGAAGATAAATGGAACCACTGGGAGAGTAAATAATGTTAGGTTTTGCAGAGTCCTGGAAACAGGGAGGTAAGAGTGCAGTGCAAGCATAACAGTGAGAAGAGAACCTGTTGCGACATGAACTCAGCCTAGAAGTGCAAAGCCACCCCTCTCACCAGGCAGCTGTGTACATAAGCATTAACCATTTGCATGAATTAACAGTAGAAACACTGGAATGCATATTACAGCTTCCTTTCTTTTTCCCTCCCTCAGGTACCATAACTTCTTGGGTGGTAATTTTTATACTGCCAATAAATAGTGCTTTGAATCCTCTCCTCTACACTTTGACTACACGACCTTTCAAAGAAATGATTCATCAGGTTTGGTATAATTACAGACAACGAAGATCTAAAAAAGGTAAATCTGGTCAGAAAACATATGGTCCATCATTCATTTGGGTAGAAATGTGGCCAATGCATGAAATGACTCCAAAGGTAATGAAGCCCATGCTTTGTACAGACTCATCTGATGCTTCGGTGACCTCGCAGTCAACAAGAATAAATTAATACATGTAAATACATTTTGAATTTTCACGGTGACATCTGCACTGTTAGCTTCACATCTGTGGGCTTACAGCTTTACAGCAAAAAGGAAAAAGGAGGGAGGTATGGCACCTGGGCCCATGTGAACTAACACAGGGAGAAGGAGCAATGTATCAGCAGGTAGAACTAATACAACAATAATTTCACCATCTCACAATGATACCTGATACTTTGACAACTCATCTTAGACCACAAGGAGAAGTTACATTGTTTTTTTTCATCTCAGAAGCCCGGAGCATGGAAAAAAAAAACCTGAATTGTCATTTAAAACATGTTACCCTGAAAGCAGAATGTTTCAAAATTATCTGTCTTGGGGGGGGGGGGGGGGGGGGGGCGGGAGATATCATTTGCATTAAACTTTTTAAGTTATTTGATTTCCTCATTAAGAATTTTTTCTCTCTGCAAAGTTTCTGACTAGGTCTATTCAAGTGATTAGGGAGCAATAGCCCTATGAAAAATATGTACATTTAATAACTAGACCAGTTTATTTGTCAAAGAAAATAAAGTGAAAATTTTAATACTTTTAAAAATTTACAAACTTTTAACAATTTATCAACCATTTCACTCATGTAAAAACAGCCCTGAAATTGCAATGATCATTCCAATTCAGGCAGAACCAGAACTGTAGGAAGGAAAAATAAAAGGGATTTCCTCATCTGAGTGTCCCCCAGCAGTAGCTGCTGGGTTTCCCCCTTCAGGAGAGGATCTTTCCCTGAAAGACTGGACTTGAGTATCCCAACATCTCAATGCTTCCTCACTGGTTCTTCATGGGCTACCATAAGTAGCCTCCCACACCTTGCAGACTTCAACAAATTTCAGTCTTAAGATGTCTATCTCAATACATGGAATAATGGAGGATGGCCATTTAGAAGACTATCAATCTTAATTTCAGTCACCTTGTACAGCTGACATGATGTGTTACAGTTAAAATGATTCAAGGACCACAGCTATTTAGCACTTTTTGGAGCATTGTTCTATTTCCCAGTGTTACAAGGGTGAAAAAAAGTTATCACATCTGAAACAATCCTCTAGTGGCAGTTCCTTCGCATATACTTCCTGAAGAGAATCTTTTCCATTATGAATTGCTACAACTTCCTGTCTATTTTCAGTACCATACTAACAGTCCGATGGCCTAGAGGCCCACAAAGGTAAAAAGAATGCTGTGCTTGTGCATCGATTATTAGAAGTGTTTTAAAATGAAGTTAAAAGATACTTCCAGTGTTTGCACTTCACTTCTTAACAGTGTAAGAAGTAGAATCTTAAGAAGTGTGACACTTCACACTTTAACTGTTTACAGAACTTTGGATTATCTTGAACTCGAAGATTGTTAGGCATCTTGTTTCCACTACTGTATGTTTTATTGAAATAAAAGATTATCTGCTGAACAAAATGATTTATTTTCCAACATTTGGGGTTGTGTGGTTAAAAACAGCCAAGTGAAATCCTGCCACGTGGATTGCCTTTCACTGGGGCAATTAGAACTCTTCTTAACAAAACTTGCACACTCTGAAGGACCAAGCCTTATCAATGTCTGTAACTGCTTCTGGTGAGATCTGGAAGGATATGTGTCCCCACCATCGCCTCTTTTTTTCACTCAACTTGATTATGGATATATTCAATGTCATATTTGTTTGTATAAGTAACATAACAATATTCATTTTTGATTTTTAGGAACATCTTTATTGCTTTGCTAAGAAAAATACAGTTTGTCTTTTAAAAAGTCATTCTACCAGTAAAAATAAGGCTGACTAGTAAGTCACAGTAAAGCCATGTTCTCCTGCAGCCTGCCATTGCATTTCAGCATTACTCTTTTCACAATGCTTTGGTAAAGGCACAGGAGTTTCAGTACAGGTATTCATTACAGATTAGCAATCTTGCAGACCAAAAGGTTCTGTTAACAGTAAACTCTAGACTAACTAGTAACTGCTTAAGGCAAAGATAAAAAAAATAGGACCAAACACTGAAAAACCTTTAACATGTTTCCCAGGCAATACATTTCACAAGTTCTTTTCCAACTGATGGAAGCTTTTACTTGCAGTTCAAAATAACCCATCCTATCAGCAAACAATGCTGTTAAACTTCCACCAGGCAGAGATACAAGATCCACCATAAGGCACTTTATTACAACAAAAGATATTGTAAAATTGTTTACAGCAATGAAACATCTGAAAATAGCTGTAGCTTTATAGAAACATACTGCAATACTGCTAAAAAATAGTAAGGTTCGGGATACAGGGCTTATCTAAAGCTTGTAAATGAGACACAGCTTGCCACATTATCCCATCCTCAACAAGAACAAAAAGTGTGCTTTTTCACTTCAGGGAGTGAAGGGAAAGTGAACTTCAGCGAGTTTCTCTGGAGTTGGCAGGGTTTATGCTGGTGACAACTCTTAAAAAGGAGGGCTCACAACAGCTCCTCGCAGGACACCACTTCCCCACCAGTAACGAGGTTTGAATGTACCACACATTAACTTCTTATCCAGCACATAAACGAGAGGAATTAAAAATGGGAAGTTAAAGTATTTCATATGTGAGAATGCTTGAACAGCAACGGAAGAGTCCAGAAGTCAAAAGTGATTCCCTAAATAAAGTTATTCTACTCGGTGACTTACACACAGCACCCATACGAGCCATCAAGTATTTCTGAGAGACCTCCGGGCTCACGGGGCGCTGAGGGAAAACGGAAATTCACGAGAACTCCCTTAAAGGCGCCGTTCAAGAGAAGGCGCGTCGCAGCCCGGGGAGCCGCGGCGGGGCAGGGTCAGCCGCTGGGCTTCAGGGACTCGTACCCCTCCCTCAGCAGGTCCCGCCACGTTCTGAGGAACCGGGCGTTCTCCGAGCACTTGGTGGCGAGCTCCTCCACCTGGGCCGACACGGCCGACGTCGCCTCCAGGACCTTCGCCAGCGAAAAGGCGGCCTGGAGGAACGGCACAGAGGTTGGCGCGGGCCGACACATGAAGGGACTCCGCCGCTCCCTCCCTCCCTCCCGCCGCGCCAGCACTCACGTCGCTGATCTGCATCTCCACGTCCGCCAGCAGCTCCCGTGTGTCACCTGCCAGCCGCTCCGGCGGCCGCAGCACCTCACTCCCGCCACAGATCTCCCCAGGCCCCGCCTCGGCCATGTCCCGCTCTGCTCCTGGACACCGCCCACCGCCCAGCCCATCCCGCGCCGCGCTCCGCCCCGCCTCCCTCCCAGGCTCGGCCGCTGGCTCCGCGGCGTCCGCTGTGGAGGAGCGCTGCGGATCCGCCGGGAGCGGTAGTCTTTCCTGCGGAGCGCCCCCAGCAGCAGTTGATCCCACCACCCCCTTCCTCCGAGCGCCTCCCGTTCAAACATGAGACGAGAATCAGTTCGTAGAGCCATTGCCCTGTGAGAGGCACTCTGGGAGCTGTAGTCCTGCCAGTGAGGGGGGTGGGACGGGACGGGGGCCCTCTTGCTAGTGGCCGAGTGCGCAGGCGCAGCCTCGCCGAGGGCGGTCGCGGGGTTCTGAGGACGCTGAGGGGTGCGGGTGTTGGCGCCATGGTGCTCTTCTGCTGCCCGTCCTCCAGCCGAGGTAACATGCCGGCTCGCCCCGGAGCGGCTCACTGTCCCGAGGGGACAGGGCTGGGGCTGCCGCCGCCCGGCGGGGAGGAGCGGGCCTGGCGAATGGCGCGGCGGGGAATGAGAGCAAAGGTCGTGGCTGGGGCGCGCCCGGGTGTCCGGGCGGCGGGGGCCGCGGGGCCGGGAGTGGCGGGGCTGGCGGGTGGCAGTCGGTGTCAGCGGAGGCACGGCCGTGTGCCCTCTGCCCCGGCGGTCTCTGACCGGTTGAAGGTACCGCTGAGCCAGAAGGCAGCGCTTACGGGAGCACCGGGTGGGCCAGGCAGGGGGCTGCTGTGCTTCTGCGGCGGGCGCATGAGGGTGGAATTATCTTTGTAGCCATACTAGAGGTTACCCTTTTTAAGCGAGAAAATAAAGCAGTTAAAGGCAGTCTTGCTGACTAAATAGACATTGTACTGACGGCAGTTAGTAAGAGCTGCGAGAGCGTAGAGTGCCTTCTTAGAGATTGTTTGCCTCGGCCAAAGGTTTCACCTTGCGTTTACCCAGTCCTTAAGCTCTCAGTACACTGGTAGCAACAGCTGAGTTCATTCACTGGAGAGAGCTGGCCCGTTCACGGTTTGGACCTGCCTTTGTAATTATCAGTTGTATTCCGGGTCGAATTTCACTTCTCTTACATGTGTGTGAAACAACTGACATTTTTAAACTATGCTATGTAATTCTTAGTACTGTCAGTTCTGTTCAGATACCTCAAAAATTAAGGTGTCATGTTCTATTATATCTGCATAGGTGCAGTTTATCGTGCTTACAAAATACATTGCTTATTCTCAGATCCTGATTGCAAGTAAAGAATGATTCAGAGTCATGAGGTAGTATGATAACAATTTTTATGTTATTGCTGGTTAAGTACAAAATTGCTGTTCTAAAACCGGCATAGATAATGCTTAGTGCCTTTGCATATACAGACCAGCATCCTTACAGTTGCTGTGCAGAGTTATAGTGGAAGATGTTTGTGCTTTTACTTTGTGGCTTTGCAGAAATACTCTATCCTCCTTCACTGGTGAAACTAGAGGAAAGGAATCCTTAAAGGAAGGAAAAATACCTGTCAGAGTGCATTAGTTCACAGACCTTTTAACTATAACTAGTTTTTCTACTGACCGTACTAGTTTTTGTGGAAAAAGAAAATGAGACGAGAATGTAACATGTAATAGCCCTGTGAACAGAGCCTTATTTTGATCATTTTAAACTTTAATTCGGTCCGTTTGCTTGAAAAGAAATTCTGACTTGTTCTCACAGCAATTACCATCTTTCAGCTGAGATCAAGGTTAACTATATCCCTTGTTCTGGCTTTAGCTAAAGCATACTTGGGTTTCAGCCTGAGATTTTCCTGTAGACCATGACACTCATAGACCACGCTCATTTTAGGTGAACTCTCTAGTGTCACTAGCCCAAACTCTGTGTCTCAACCTGTGTTGATATGTCAGAAGAGATGAACCTGGGGAGGGGCTGTCATGTTTGTTGTGTCTGAAAACTCAAGAAATGTGGAAAATTGCTGATTTTGTAAATTTGTTTTTTGTTTTAGCAGCATATCAGTGCTTTCGTGCTCTCAAGTTGATAAACAGAGATAGCCTTCCATCACTGCATATCTCAAGATGTGCATCTACTGCCTCTGTGCCTCGCATAACTACACATTATACAATTCATCCTCGGGACAAAGACAAACGATGGGAAGGTGAGCAAAAAAAGCTGCATTATTTAAAAGTTCCTTTGTTATTGCTGTTTTAAAGACACTGAAATATGTTGCTGTCCTTATCTTCTTACAGAAATTCTGTACTTTTAAATATAGTACTAATATTCCAAATTAATTTTATGGTGTGTGTCTTTAGTGCTATAAAATGGCATCAGAATAAACTTTCTCCTAGTTATGTAAGTAAAATATATAAGCAGCTTTTGCTTTAGTGACTTATCTCAAGATTTAATTCTATCAGGTATGTGCCTGCAGGATTTTCTCAGTTGTTCTTACAATGAGCATTTGTGAGAAAATAATATTAATACATGTCTCTGGACATTCCAGTCTCTACATTCAGCAATTTTAATGGCTTCAATTCCAGAAAAGAATGATTGATTAGCATAAAATTAAGTTGCGTGTTCTGGCAAAAGGTATTTTTTCTTTTATTTCTCCCTTACCAAGAGTTTCAGTTAGCATCTTTGATACAGCTGCCCAACTGGAATCTGAATTTAAACATACTAAGATGACACTTGTGGTGGATAGAGATTGAATACATGTTTTTATGGTATATAAAAAAAGGAGCTAATTTTACATTGGGTGCTGATGACCTTCTGTGCCTCTTCCAAGTACTGAATTGGGGATTCTGTTCAATATTTAGCTTCCTTTTATGCAAAGTAATACTTCTTGGATACCCAGCAGCAAGTGTAACAGCAGAGATTGAGAGAGAGGCTGGGGGAAATTGGATATTTGTTTATGTTATTATCTTTTCTTTTTTTTTTTTTTCTATTATAGGGGTAAACATGGAAAGATTTGCAGAGGAAGCTGATGTTGTCATTGTTGGAGGAGGCCCTGCGGGTCTCTCTGCAGCTATTCGACTCAAACAGTTAGCTGTGGAGCACAACAAAGAAATACGTGTTTGCCTGGTGGAAAAAGCTTCTCAGATTGGTGCACATACACTGTCCGGTGCCTGTGTTGAGCCAAGGGCCTTAGAAGAACTCTTTCCAGACTGGAAAGAGCGGGGGGTATGTATGAGCGTATCAGCCTTAAATTATTTTCTGTCTTCTGATGAACTGCATTGGTACTTTGGTATCATTGGTACTTCTTGCCATTAAAAAATACACTGATGTAACAAAACAAAAAAAAAAGCACCCTATCTTCTTTTTTAGTCTGTTACCTCTAGTTTGGCAATGCTAAAGTTTTATGTCTACACAGATATGCTGTGTCCTTTGCTCTTTCATGTAGCAGTTTTACTGCATATAGGCAGTATGTCTGGTGCATCCTGGGATGCACTACACTGCACTTGTGCAGAATCCAGCTCCTGAGCATAAGCAGCAAGATGTGCAATTCTTAGCTATGTCAGACTTCTTTCTGTGCAATAGTTCTTCATAGTCTTGGGAAATGGCACATAGTATACTTACTTTTGTACGGAGTTAGTGGTGTAACAGAGACCTAAGGTGCTTTTAAGAAGGGAGCTGCCGTCTCTGCCAGAACAGCCATCTGACTTGCAGCCAGCTCCCTGCTGTCACCTGAGAGCTGCAATACCAGGTGTCAGCTGGTTGTTTTGTCTCACTGGAATAATTACACAAGTTGTAACTGCTTTCTTTAGAAAGGTCTAGAATGTTGATGAAGTACAAGCCTGTGTACAAACTGTAGAAGTTATTTGCAAGGCCCTGGTCCATTTTTTTTGTGTGTGTGTCAATAGTTGTGTTGTTTCTTGTGTGATGACTGCCTCATAAAGCACTTCTTTCTTGTGATACCTTCCTACAGAACTGCTTTATTAAACCTTTATTAGACTGCCAGTTGGATTGTTTTGTTTGTTATTGTTGGATTGGATAGAAAAACATAACTTTTCTATTTTTTAGAAACACACTGTTTCTATTTTCTTTCTTAATGTAGGCTCCACTTAATACTCCTGTAACTGAAGACAAGTTTGGAATTTTAACAGAGAAATCTAGAATTCCGGTGCCAATTATTCCAGGTAAAGTTTAGTGAGGTGATAGAGAGTCATCTTTCTCTGTGTCTTTTTCAGCTCTTTCATTTACTCAAACAATTTTGATTCAGTGTAGTACAGCAAGTGTATGTAAAAGTAATAACTTAGTGATAGGGTTTATGTAGATGATGGTTATGGTAACACATAAGATTACTGTAAAGATAATAGTTGTAGAAGATATGACATTTGATGTATACAACTTGTGTCGTTTTGCTTATTGTTCTGTGGTTTATGTATGTATGTCTTTCTGCTTAGGACTTCCAATGGTTAATCATGGAAATTACATAGTACGCCTGGGCCACTTCGTGAGCTGGCTAGGTGAACAAGCAGAAGCATTGGGTGTTGAGATATATCCAGGCTATGCAGCAGCTGAGGTAATAATGACATCACTGCATATATGAAAAGTGGTTTTGGAACCCTCTTCCCTCTCAATTATTTGTACAGTCACAACATTCCTTTAAAAGACATATATTATGAAAATTGTGTTTCAGTGTCTAAATTCTGGCCCAGATCCAGCAAAGTGCAAGTGGATCACACAGTATGTTACATAGTCTTCAAGTTTGACCATTAAAGACATAGAGCTTAGAAGTTCTGTATTATAACTTTTTAGGAGTTGATTAAAATGACAGATCATTAAATATTTTTGTTTGTTTGTTTAAATATTTCCAAAGGTTCTTTTTCATGAAGATGGTAGCGTGAAAGGGATAGCAACTAATGACGTAGGCATTCAGAAGGATGGAGCACCTAAAGTAAGTAGCTATCTTCTCCATAACTAGCAGTCTGATTATAGAAATTGTGATATATCTGCTTCTACTGCCATCAGTTGGCTTGCTGCTGGCTAAAAAAAAGTGTAAAATTCAGTACCTGTCTTCCCTCTCTGTAGATAAAATTGAGCAAGTTGTGGCCTCAGAAACTTGTAAACTTCTGAGATTAGTAGAAAAAGCCTTCGCAGAAAGGAGGTTTGTTTGGGAGTGACTTGAAGGTGTGTTGGCATATGTTAAATCAGGAAACAATTCCAGGGACTCGTAGAAGAAAGGCATGAAGATGAAATAGAAAGCTGTTGTCTAGCTGGTAACTAGCAATGTGTAAGAGAGTGTACTTCTGTCTGATTATCTTTAATATTCACAACTGCAGTCCCATTTGTTGACAGGCTGTCTGCCTCACTGGGGCAAAGTACACACTGAGTCTTTACACCTTTTTGCTGGTCGTTCCTGTTTCTGTGTCTAGAAGGTGACACCCTGCCCTAAGTGACAGACTTTGATTTTTAGTGGAATCTAGAACCTGCAGTGTGTCTCTTCCTTATGCAATGTATAGGAGAATTTGGCACCACAGCTACCCATAACAGCTTTCTCACAGAACTGTTTGGCTACAGAAATTATGGGTACAAGCTTTTTCTTAAGAATTACTTTCTTTTATGAGCTTTCTTATTAGTTATGTAGTTTCAGAGAGGTATTTACTTTCATATGAAAGCATGGGCTATTTTCCGTCTTTAAGGCACGAAATGAGAATAAAAGACTTGTTTTGAGAGCATATAGACAGTGGAGGAGGGAGGAGGAAGTAGTGGCAGGGGAAAATAGTACTTTTTTCCAGTGTGATGTTGGCTGTCTCCTGTAGAGGACAGACGTGCTCTTACTTTCAGGTGTACATTTTCTCCAGTAGGAGGCGCGGGTAATGTGTTTAGCTTGCTGCTGTGATGCGGATTTAATGGGAATTTGGTTTAGGAAGGAATTATTATTTTAGTATTTATTTTAAAGCATTCTCAAAACCTAGAATTTTTTCCGTTTATTCTGGAAGTTTGTGTGTCGGGGTTTAAGCCCAGGCCTCAACTCAGAACCACACATCCACTTGCTCAGCAGGGATGGGGAGAATTGAAAGAATGTGAACCCCACAGGTTGAGATAAGAACAGTGCAATAACTAAAGTATAATACAGAACTACTACTAATAATAATGGTGAGGGAAATAACAAGGGGAGAGAATATAAAACTAAAAAGGAAAAAAAACCCAAACAACAGCAGTGATGCACAATACAATTGCTCCCCACCCACTGACTGATACCCACCCCGACCCGAGCAGCGAACTGGGCCTTCCATGTAACTCCCCCCCCGTTTATATAGTGGGCATGATGTGCTGTGGTATGGAATATCCCTTTGGCTAGTTTGGGTCAGGTGTCCTGTCTGTGCTTCCTTCTGGCCTCTTGTGCCCCACCTCACTGGCAGAGCATGTGAGACTGAAAAGTCTGTGATCAGGGTAAGCATTACTTGGCAGCAGCTAAAACATCTGTATGTTATCAGCATTGTTCCCAGACTAAAGCAGAAATACAGCACTGCACCAGCTACTAGGAAGGAGGAAAAAATGGCTATTACAGCTGAAACTGGGACAATGTGTTTCTTAACTTCTTTAACGTACATAATTACTGTGCCACCACTGCAGTTTTTTGAGTATTCAAGTATTTCAGCTGTCAGTTAGGTCAGCTGGTACTAACTCCAGTGTATAAAGGTTCAGGTAAATAGACAGAGTTTGTATAACCTTCAAGGCAAGAATATCTTTAGTGTGTTTATGCAGTGCCTAATCAGATAAACTAGGGTTAATGAACAGAATTTCACCTTGTAGTCAGCACCAATCAAACAAAAATGCCAGTGGTAAGACTGTGTAGTAAAAAGTCGCACAGTGATTCTTGTCTAGATTCTGGAGAAGGATGTTATCCTTAGTCACATTGCTGAAACATTTCAAATTAATGAATTTCTGATACTTACAGTGTGGAATTGTAGTTAATTCATTTATATAGATTTACTTCAGATTGGACATTATATGTTTTTAATATTTAAGATCAGGTAGTAAGTCCCTGTAGTTCTCTTAATATTTTGTAAGATAATTCATGTAAAGGTTGACAATCAGAAATTCAAACAATATACCAAAAAATTTGGCAAAATATTGTAACTCCTGTTTAAAGGTAATTCCTGCATAGAGGGAGCCTTTTCATTTGCTAGCCTTTTTCAGAGGTTTCCAACCAGTAAGTCACAAGCAGATTGCACCTGAGAAACAATTCAAAATAACAGCAGTAAGTTTCTCCTGGGCCAATTGCTTACGTTGAGATGGTTTTATTAGGTGCTGCTGGATATCTTAATCCAAACCTGTTTTCATTATCTTTTTCAACATTAAACTTTCTGACTGAAATCAAGCTTTTTTTTCTTTTTAAAAAAATTTGTTTCCCCCCCCTCCTGCAGGTTTATATATATTTAAAATCTTGTCTTTTTACGTTGCAAATATAATCTATTAATATTCTCATCCAGTGCTTACATATGCATGTGACATGCTCATACACAAGTATGGTGGTTCCCCTTTCCTTACTCTCAATCTCAGTGTTGGAACTTTTAATGAGATGATTTTTTTTATAGTGATACTTCATGTTAGTTTAATGATACTGTAAGTTTTAACATGTAAGATTGATGTAATATTATAGTAACATTATTCTAAGGTAGTGAGTTCTTTTGAGGGCAGAGGCGATGCAGGTTTTTCAGATCTGGTGTTTAACCGCTGTGGGGGGACACAGTGTTTTACTGTAATAAGCAAATGAGCAAAAATTTAAAGTGTGAAGTTCGGGGTTAAGAGTCTATGTTCTGTCAGGGTTTTTTTGCATCATATAAATGATCAGGTTTGGTATAAATATCCTCTGATCTAGAAGAGATTGTCTCAGTAACAAATAGCGATCCACTGTAGTGCTTGTTTTATTGGAATTACACAGCAAGATTTGCCTGGGAAGCATCACAGTTATTAGGTGAAAACATCTGGACTAGAGCCATAACTTGCAATGGCTGTAAGTTCTGGACAGTGCCACAAAGTAGTGTAAAATCACTTTATTGCCTTCTAGTTTCTCTCTGTGAATTTGGTGTGGCACAGATCTAACTGCTGATGAAACGTTCTCCTTTTGCAGGCTACCTTTGAAAGAGGCTTGGAACTCCATGGTAGAGTCACAGTCTTCGCTGAAGGTTGTCATGGACATCTAGCCAAACAGGTGTACAAAAAGTACAATCTAAGGGAGAATTGCCAACCCCAGAGCTATGGTATTGGACTGAAAGAGGTATTGCCTGCATAACTGTAACAATTAAGGAAAATACTGTGAAACTATAAAGTAGTTTGTGTTTGCTTTCAAGTTGATCTCTGTAAGAAATGAGAACGATAGATTTTGAGTTACGCTTTCAGACTTCAGAATCTTTGCTATTCTGAAGGTCATCTGAGAAGATATTCCCTGAATATTGTGACTGTTTTGTTTTAGTTGCTTTTTATCTTATATCTGTGTTATACCTAAAGGTACCTGTGAATCCACTCTGCTAATGTCTTAATTTGATTTCAGATTATGTTAATTTGTGAAATCCGTTTTCAGTACTAAATGAGAGGGATTCATGCTGCCCAATTTATGGGGCTTTAGTGCCTGAGAAGGGGAGGAAAGGCTTTCTGTGGATTTTCATTAGAGAGTGGAGCTATTCCAGATGATGAATCATGGTCTCTGGAACACCTTCTAGATGAGGTTTTTTTTTTTTTTTTACCCTCTAAATGCCCTTCAGTGGGCTTATAAAATTTGGGTTAGGGATCCCGTTTCCTTGTTAAAATATTTTATTCTCAGGAAATATCAGTCATGAAAAAGAGCTATGTTATTTAGAATATGGTCAGTTTGACTATAATATATTCTTTATTACTCTAAGACTGTGCTTCTAGTAGCAGACTGTTTGTTAAATAATTAGTTTACACTTCTGTAGAGAATAACACATAGTTACTATTTCTAACACCTAAGTTGTCATTAAAGCATGGGGTTTGCTGTAGAGTTCCTTTTCTTCCAGATGAGACTGCTTTAGCAAATAGTACAGTCCAATAAGAATGGTTCTGTAAATGAAATAGCTGGTGCTGGTGAGCTGATATCCGCGCTATGCATATATCAAGTTTATTTTTACTTAAGACTGGCTCTGATATAGTCCCATGGACTGAGTCCCTTTTGTGACTGGAATGCTTTAGATGGGCTTCTGGAGCCTGTCTTACAGTTTACTTTCATGTGACAGGAATCCAGTTCATGCCTTCCTGTACAGTGGCTGCTTTATGGTGTGAACCAAAGCACAGTAAGTAGGAGGAATCAAGAGTCCTGCTCAAAAGTACACTTCTTGATCTAACCGGAAACATTAATTTAGATGTACCTTCCATGCCCTTCTGTCATTAGACTACACCTGGCTTTGTGGTGAAGAGATATTTTGTGAAATGAGCAGAAAATTGACTCACTAGTGGAAACATGAAGGTGCTTCTGTGAGTTCACCAAGGGTCAGATCACCACTGGAGATGTGTAGGAGAGAGCAGAGAGAGGACAACCTGTTTGACTGTAGATATTTAGGTCAACTCGAGCATATTGTTAAGCCTTGACCTTGTGAGGAAATTGCAGTGATTCATATGAAAAAATAATGTATTTAAAGAAAAAAAAAATCCATATTAAGTGTTGCCTTCCTTAGCAGAAGTATCTATTGAAGTCGCTAATATAAAGCATAAAATGACAATTTTGGGTATAGTACTGGAGCCTCAGTCACATTTTCTGATGTGCAACATTTCTAGAAAGAGAAGCATTGTATTAGGAAATTCTTCAATGGTAACCCAAAAAAAAGTGTACTTATTACCTGGTATTTTGCTGCATGAATTTATGCATTGGTCATAGCAGTAAATTAATTTTCTTCTATATGTAATTGCATATCTTTTATATATATAATATATTATTGAAAGGCCATTACTTTGCAATGTAAAGTAATTTTTTATCCTCTTTCAGTTGTGGACTATTGATGAAAGGAAATGGAAACCAGGAAGAGTGGAACATACTGTAGGCTGGCCTTTAGACAGACATACATATGGAGGATCCTTTCTTTATCACTTAAAGGAGAGTGAACCTTTAGTTGCTCTTGGATTTGTGGTAAGTGAAACTGGTTTTTGCATGCTTGCTTGTTGTTGTTTGGTTTCTCTGTTTTTAATATGAAGATGAAAACACACGAATAGCAACAGACTAAATTTGGCACTTTCTCAATTTTACATGCACTTATGTCCATATTAGGGAAGGTTAATTTGTCATATGAACGTATCTTAAATCAAGAGTCTTTCATTAAGAACAAAATGGAAAACTTAGAAATAATTTTTTTTGTAAACAAAGTTTTGGTAAACCCAAACCCAAATCATCAATCAAAATTGCTCACAAGAGTTTTGCAAGTTAGATGTCTAAATCATGCACACTTTGTACAATTCCATTTTGTCATGTGTCAGTCTTGGGTGTAGCTGCGCTTTGAGAGAAGCATGTAAAGTGAAACTACTCTGCAGTTCCGCAAGCAGCATTCCTTCTATTCCCAAGTTCTTCAGTATGTTCTTGCCATTCATATCGCCGCTGTTTGCCTCCCCCTGTTTAGCAGTTGTCTCTGAGTTGAACAGGCAGCTGCTTCTTACTCTTCTTTATCAGAATTGAGATCACTGTAGACAGTCTTGTGTCATTCTGTCAGCCAGTGATGCAAAGAGCAATGGTAGGAAATGTTTTTCTAGCACCTACAGTCCTAAATGAAGCACGCACTTATTATTATGTGCATGTGCTTCGCATGCAGATGTTACATTAGTCAGGCACACGATCTGGGCTTTTACCAGCATAAGATTTAGGTCATGTTTTGGCCTTCTAGATTTCAGAAGGGTCCCAGAATGTGTGTGAAAACTGTATTTTTGTCTAATGGTTTTGTAAGAAATATTGAAACAAACTTGTTAGCTTTTCTCAGACATGCATACTTGTTCTGTTCAGATTTCTAGTCTTGGAATTAATGAGTAGAGACAGTAGGCATTTAAATTCTGTTTGCTTTTAGAAGGATAGAGAGCTTTGGTTCTTAGAGAATGGTAATCATTAATGTTCATATTATCTCCAGTTCACATAGGAGAAAATCAACTTCTGTGTGAACATACAAGCACAGTTTATCTTTGAATTTTACACCTATGTCAGTCTGAACTGATTCTTCTAGCAGAATTATTTTGCAAATCGTTCATTAACTTTTATCTAGCAAGGAAATAAATGCAAGCAGTGCTCTAAAAGCAGTCAGCTGCCAGAGAAATCAACTGTTTCTTGCTGACTCATGATATGTTTTGTTACTTGCCTCAAATAAAGGTTACAGGAACCAAAAAGCTCAAAAGAGAAAACTTGGCAGCATAAGAGCCCTTTTAAGAGTATATTAAAGATCGGAAATGCAGAGTATATCTTGGGGCAAATTCTCACATACGTAAGATAGGAATCTGGGCATCCAGCCAGTTGGGAAAAGACTTTTTCCTTCATTTTCTGCTTCCATCACTGATCCCCTGTGCTTTATTAAAATGGCTTACCTAATTGGAAGTGATAATTGACTCTGCTAAATGATGTGAAGAACTGGTTAAATATGTGAGCACAAGGACATAACTATATAGAAAGCATTGTTCACCTCTCCTTCCAGCTTTTCTAAGGCAAAGAGATTTTCAAAGACAAATTTAAAACTAGTTTTCTCCCTTATCCTGCCCATTAAACCATGCTTAATATAATTTCACTGTTTTATTTCAGTGACAGATGGAAGATGTTTACAATGCAATTAAATATTTTCCATGCTTCAAATTTCAGTAGGGCAAAGAACAGGCTTGTAGCAGCAAATTGTCAGATATACTTCTGCTGCCCTATTAACAGAATGTATTTTTGGCAGTAGTTTCTCTAAGTAGAAGGATCCTGAGGTTGGTTTAGTATGAAATAGATTTAAAGAGTTGATATAATATGCAATTGTTTTCTTTTCAAACTTCTGTTGAAATTTTGTACTTTGTTTTCATTAACGTTGCACACTTTTCTTTTTTTAAGGTTGGTTTAGATTATCAAAATCCCTATTTGAATCCATTTAGGGAGTTTCAGAGGTGGAAGCACCATCCTACTGTACAGCCTACCTTGGAGGGTGGAACAAGGATTGCCTATGGTGCCAGAGCGCTAAATGAAGGTGGTTTGCAGGTAACATTTTCATGACTTTTTTTTTTTTTTCCTTTTACTTTGAATTCCCTATAGCTGTGATTTTAGTGCAGTAGATTTGGGCTGTATGGGAAACACCTGAGCTATAGTAAAGTTGAATAAAGCCAAGAGTTTTTCCAGACAGAAAAGCCTTTTTATCTTACTGGATACCGGCTGCTGAGATTTGCTAGGTTTAGGCTCTGTCATACTAAAAACCTTCTGACATAATCACTCTGTTTCTAAATTAAATACAGATTCATAGAATTGTTTAGGCTGGAAAAGACCCTTAAAATTATCCAGTCCAACTGTTAACCCACCACTGGCAAGTCCACCAGTGAACCATCTCATTAAGTGCCACATCTACATGTCCTAAATGCCTCCAGGGGTGGTGATTCCACTCCCTGGGAAACCTGTTCCAATGCTTGACAGCCCTTGCAGTGAATAAATGTTTCGTAAAATCCAGTCTAAACCTCCCCTGGTGCAACTTGAGGCCATTTCCTCTTGTCATATTATTTGTTACTTGGGAGAAGAGACCACCCACCCCCTGTCTCCATCCTCCTTTCAGGTGGGTGAAGAGAGCAGTAATGTTCCCCCTCTGAGCCTCCTTTTCTCCAGACTAAACAAGCCCAGTTCTGTGTACTCACCAAGCCTTAAGTTCAGTTGAAAGGGCTGGAACAATTTGCAGAAGAAATAGTTTTGCTTTTATATTTAATAGCTAAAGTCCTTCCAACCTTCTCATGTGGGCATCATGGAACACAGGACATGGCTGCATGTCCTGGACTCCTAGATCTATTTGTAGACATGCCTTTTGGTTTGGAATTTAAAACTAGCCTGAGTATTTGTAATTCGCAGCCTGTGTCTGGGGCCATTCCACTCTACTCTCTGATTACATTGTTCTTCCTTTTTGAATGTCTTCTTTGGTATAAATGTGACTTCATGCAGTTCTTGCAATATAAGTGGAATTTCAGCAGCAGTGTAACACTTGTCTCAGACTTTTGGGGTTAAGCTTTGTTACTAGTGTGCATGCCTGGAACTGAGTCATATGGGTTTGTGAAGCAACTTCCTGATTAAGTGGGATCATTTAATCAACCTGCAGGTTGGTTACTTGGTCCATTATGAAGTGGAAATATGTCATATTACGTTGTAACACGGCTGTGTTACTAGCTTATTTCATAGACCACTGTCTGACCATTATTAACACAGATAAGAAACAAAATACCAATAATCTAGAGTTATGTGTAAGCTGAGCTTCTCCTTCCACCCTGTGCACTGATTTCTGTATCACAGATAATCATTATTGAATTTCTTCCTTTCATGAAGTAGTAGTCAGATTGTGACTTCAGTTGCATACTTCTTATACTACTCAAAACATACAGCTGAAAAAACATGGTAGTTTTTAAGTCACTTACAGACATTGTGATGTCACACACATTAGGATGACAGCTCTTGTGCACCTCTGCCTAATCTTTGGACTTATTTGCTGGACTTAAAACAGCATGTACCTTACTTTAACTGTTCCTACTATAAAAGCATGGGGGGGTTGTTCAGCTTTTGTTTTTAGTTTTACTTATTTATTTGCTGTAGATAAAATTGTCTAGTTAATGATGAAGTCATACTTTTAATGGCCTTTTTTTAATACAAGCTTTCAGTAAAGAATAAAAAAAGCTTTATTGGTGAATCACTTAAGAAGATTTTAAATTAGCTCTTCTTTTGCATGTGTTGCTTTGACTGTAGCTGTCTGACTCATTTGCATCACTAGAGTCCAGGAATATTTTCTTACGTAAGTTGTTGAGTAGCTCCAGTTTTCATTTTGGTGGCAGTGTTGCATCAAATAGAATCACAGAATGGTTTGGGTTGGAAAGGACCTTAAGAACATCTTGTTCCAACCCCTGCCATGGGCAGGAACACCTTCCAATAGACCAGGTTGTTCAAAACCCTGTCCAACATGGCCTTGAACACTGCCAGGGATGGAACATTTACAGCTTCTTTGGGCAACCTGTTCCAGTGCCTCACCACCCTCACAGTAAAGGACTTCTTTATATCTAACCTGAACTTCCCCTGTTTAAGTCAGTTACCCCTTGTCCTATTGCTACAGTCCCTGATGAAGAGTCCTTCTCCAGCATCCTTGTAGGCCCCCTTTCAGATACTGGAAGGCTGCTGTGAGGTCTCCACGCAGCCTTCTCCAGGCTGAACAGCACCAACTTTCTCAGCCTGTCTTCATATGGGAGGTGCTCCAGCCCCCTGATCATCCTTGTGGCCCTCCTCTGGACTTGCTCCAACAGCTCCATATCCTTCTTATGTTGAGGACACCAGAACTGCACACAATACTCCAAATGAGGTCTCACGAGAGCAGAGGGGCAGGATCACCTCCTTCGACCTGCTGGTCACGCTGCTTTTAATGCAGCCCAGGATACGGTTGGTTTCTGGGCTGCGAGTGCACACTAAAGCTGGCTCATGTTCATTTTCTCATCAACCAACACCCCCAAGTCCTTCTCTGCAGGGCTGCTCTGAATCTCTTCTTTGCCCAACCTGTAGCTGTGCCTGGTACTGCTCCGACGCAAGTGTAGGACCTTGCACTTGTTACAGTTAAACTTCATAAGGTTGGCATCAGTCCACCTCACAAGCGTGTCAGGGTCCCTCTGGATGACATTCCTTCCTTGCAGCGTATCAACCGAACCACACAGCTTGGTGTCATCGGCAAACTTGAAGGCGCATTCAAACCCACTGTCCATGTCACTGACAAAGATGTTGAACAGGTGTATATAGGTGTATAAAATTACCATCAATCTCAGCTGGTTTTGTCTGCCACAGGTAACCTTATGACCATGTTTAGTCTTTAACATACAGCGAAGCTAAGTTGGTGGGAGAGAGGGAGAGTGCAAGCTCTGGGATAGTTAGCTGATTTTGTAGCTGATTTTTTGGGATATGGGGAAAGGAGGAAGAGGGTTTAATAGGCTACATCTACATAGCTTTTATTTCTTCTGTTTATTAAAATTGCAAAATCAAGCACTTAAGAAATTCCCATGCAACCTCTGTTTTGTCTCCATTATATCAAAAAACTTTGAAAATATTTCAGAGTTTTGTAGAAAACAATGAAGTGTTGCTGTTATTGAGCAATGTGTATTAACAGTATCAGAGGGAAAAAAAACCTTCTTATTGGTGACCTATGCAAGTGTCAAACATTAGACTCGCTTGAAAGATTTTCAACCCTGAGCTGAGCTGAGGGGAGCAAAATAGGGGGTTCCTGGTCCACTGGCAGAGGGGATGTTGCTGCGCAGAGCAGGCATCTTCCCTTCCTCTGTCCTCCAAACCAGCATTGTTTTATCTCTTTGCTGCCAAGAGGGTGGTGACTTCTCATGGTTGAAAGGATTAAGTTGTATTTTCAGCCTTAATTACCTTTGCTACAAACCAAACCACTAAGACTCTGATTAAACAAATTGCCAAAAACGCATAGGAAATGCTGTGTACAACTTTATTTAGTGACTACTATACAAATATTCGAAAGTAACCAGGCCTGGATGAATAGTAAACAGATGACAATTGAACAAGCAGAAGAAACAAAATGTTTGTTTCAGACTGTCTTGAATTCCAAGGGGTACTTTATTATTTGGTCATTTTTCATTGATTACTTGTTTGGGGTCAAACTATTTAGGCTATTAAAAATGGATTATTTCAGCACCTTTAATAAAAGCAGGATGCTAGATTCACAAGTGCTGCTGAGTACTGAAGACTTTCAGAGGAAGGCCATGTTCACAACTTCAGCAATTTGAGACCTGGGATATGATCACAGCTTTCTGCTCTAAGTTCTACAATTGGTGTGTGTCTTGAAGCTGTTCCCTGTCTAAAATCTTAATCTCATTGGATGAGGGTGAGGATAACTGTCTTGATAGTCGAGGTATTCCTTAGCTAATACAGGTATGTATCATAGTATATTAATACTATAGACCTGATGTTTGCAAATCATCTGTCTTAGATTTGTGAGTTGACTGTAGTCAATGACATTGTTTCTTACAGAACAGGGGGTAAGGCAGTGATTTTGTACTAAATACCTATTTGTTGGCTGCTGAGCAACTTCTAAAGTAAGTGGGGAGGAGGGGAACAACAAGGAGACCACACTGCAGTTACATGGGAAAGATGTATGGTAAAAAGCACTGGGTGGTAAGCTGTGAGAGGAGAGGCATGCAACTTACTCTGTTGGGAACACAATTATCTCTTTAAAAAAGAACTTATTTAAACTTGAAGGAGGAAAATGGTATTGGTGGGTGAAATTACCACAGTCTTGTTGCAGATAAAGCAACTAGAGAGAAGATATGAAGAAAATGTTGTCATTTTTTTATATTCAGCCCCAGTGCAATGTCTGTGTTCTTACTTGCTTACCATGCCAAAATTTCTTGGTAAGTGAAGTAACTCTGGTGTATTTTTAGAAAGCACACATGCAACTTTAAAAATGTGAAGGACACTCAAGCCTCATGCCAGTTTCATTTCCAGAAGGTTATTTTCACTGTAAAAACCAAGAACAAATGAAGAAAACACTTTATTTTTTTTTTTTTTGCTTCCTCTTCAGTCAATACCCAAACTCACCTTCCCAGGTGGAGTATTAATTGGTTGCAGTCCTGGACTCATGAATGTTCCTAAGATCAAAGGGACACATACCGCAATGAAGAGCGGCATGTTGGCTTCTGAAGCCATCTTTAGCCAATTAATCAATGAAAATCTCCAGTCAAAGACAAAAGGTAAGATTGTTGTACCTCAATTTGCAATTACCCTGTGTTCAATTACAGTCACCACCAACTTAGCAGTAACTAAATGTGTCTGAATAAAATAGTTGGGAATGCAAATCATAAAACGAGCGTGCTGGTTTGAAAAGACATCTATTGTTTATTTACTATATATACTGTTGAATGATTTAAGAAAGAAATTAAGTTATGTTTAGTTATTCTTAAGTATTGATCAAGTTTGCTCTTCACTCTTAGTTGCAAGGATACTTTTTTCCTTCAATCCTCTTTTTGTCTTTAATTTTGTAGTATTCCAAGTGTGAGACTGTATTTCTTTTTATGTGTAATACAGGCACATTGAAGTAATGACCTGATCCTGACCACATTGTAGCCATTTATTTAAGCCTTGGTTGTTCCCTTAAATCTGCTAACAAAGGCTGTACAGCAAGAGAACCCAGTTAGAATTTCAGTCGTTCTGGACATGGATGCTGTAGCCTGGTGCCTCATGATTATTATTTGTAATGGTGAATTCAATCCTAGTCAGCTGTTGTTCATCTAGAACGTGCAATACAGTATAACAGGTTAAAGTGCTTAGAATCCCTCTGAAGTGATAAATGCTCTTACTGGGTAGTGTGCTGCTTGTGTTTGGTTATGGACAGGTTTTATATGCTGTCTCCAGTTTGGTCATGCAGTAGAATATTAGAGCCCACCTTCTCTGTGCACGGATAATGAACTTTCTTCAGAGCCTTACATGCAACAAAAAATGTGGACTGAAGCATGTTTTCATGTACAGGCAAGGCTATAAATTTACTGCTTAGAACAACGGTAATGAAGAATGGTGAAGAGGAAGCTCTCAGAATATTTTCATTTGAAAAAAACATGTTTTTTTTTTCTAAGATAATTACTTGGCTTTAACTACACTGCAGTAGGTGTGTCATGTGTCACGTGCAGTGTCTAGTATGTGTAAAGAATACAGTCAAGGAGTTTAAATCAAGTGTGTGGTCAAATATATCTCATTAACTTGCTGGTTACAAAGGGAGAAAAAAATGTTTACTAGCACTGGCATCATCTATTGGGCTGTAGTCATAGTTACCGAAATCAGAATGTTTGTGGTTGTATAAGTTGTAAAGAAAAAGCTTTTGAACTTGACAATTTTAAAACTACCAACCTGTCTCATCCTAGGTAAACTCTCCTGGTCAATTCTTGGATTCTATGAGAGAACAGCTGTTCTCCCGTAAAGGTGTCAATGTAGCCACCTGGCCAGTTATATTTTACTGAGGTCTGAGGCAATTTAATGCTGCTCATGGGTCATTTCATAGAGGCCACAAAGGAGCAGTATATACCTGCTGATAACTGCCAGCAGAACAGATCTTTCCAAGAGGCTGAAATACGTTGTCTAGTATATACCTAGCTTCCTATTCTGAAATTCTCATTTTGCTGCCTTCGTTGCTAACAGTTTTTATATAGCCATTTTTTTTTTTTTTACTTCAAGGATAGTCTTTATGTGCTGTAGGTACCTAACCAGTAATGTACTGCCTTAGGACTTCATGTGCAAGAATATGAAGAGAACCTGAAAAAGTCCTGGGTCTGGAAAGAACTGTATGCAGTTAGAAACATCCGACCATCCTGCCATAGCGTACTTGGTGTGTATGGAGGAATGATTTACACCGGTATATTTTACTGGCTGCTGCGAGGAATGGAACCGTGGACATTAAAACATCCAGGTAATTTCATTCTCTCCTGAAAGAAGGTACTAAATTTTTATGTCAGTCTTTTGTGGTCTCAGTTGAAGCTGGAGCACATCTGGTCAAGTGGTGAATGTAGAAAAGAAATGGGACGTAAGTCGTTGAAGCAGACTTTGTCATAATGTAAATGAAGACATCAGAACACTGTTCTACTTAGCAGAGTTTGTCTCAGAGGTTACCTTGTATGAAATACTTCATTGTGATGACAAGGGAAGTTAAAATAGCTTCATTACATTAAGTTACTTTAGTTAAAATAGTTTAATTGAATTAATGTTCTTGAGTAACTGCAAATTACAGTTATTCTATATGGAAACTTATTTATTTAAAATATATTTAGGACCAGATTTTGCTCAGCTCAAGCCAGCCAAAGAGTGCACGCCTATTGAATATCCAAAGCCTGATGGAAAAATCAGTTTTGATCTCCTGTCGTCTGTGGCTTTAAGTGGTACAAACCATGAACATGACCAGCCTGCTCATTTAACCCTCAAAGATGACAGCATCCCTGTGAGTAGGAATCTGGCTGTATTTGATGGACCAGAACAAAGATTTTGTCCAGCAGGTGGGTAACAGAAATGTGTCTGAGCTGGTTTGGAAGGTGAAAGACTGAGCACTTCAGTGTGCACCTGGCCTACCTACTTACTTCATGCATTCCATCCAAATCCTCCTCCTAGAAAAGGGTTCAAGTGCAGGTCTTAATACGTTATGTGAACAGTACTATCATAGAATCGTTAGGGTTGGAAAGGACCTTAAGATCATCTAGTTCCAACCCCCTGCCATGGGCAGGGACACCTTATGCTAAATCATATCACCCAAGGCCTCGTCCAACCTGGCCTTGAACACTGCCAGGGATGGAGCATTCACAACCTCCCTGGGCAACCTATTCCAGTGCCTCACCACCCTAACAGGAAAGAAATTCCTTCTTATATCCAATCTAAACTTCCCCTGTTTAAGTTTTAACCCATTACCCCTTGTCCTGTTACTACAGTCTCTAATGAAGAGTCCCTCTCCAGCATCCCTATAGGCCCCCTTCAGATACTGGAAGGCTGCTATGAAGTCTCCACGCAGGCTTCTCTTCTCCAGGCTGAACAGCTCCAACTTTCTCAGCCTATCTTCATACAGGAGGTGCTCCAGTCCCCTGATCATCCTTATGGCCCTCCTCTGGACTTGTTCCAACAGTTCCATGTCCTTTTTATGTTGAGGACACCAGAACTGCACACAATACTCCAGGTGAGGTCTCACAAGAGCAGAGTAGAGGGGCAGGATCACCTCCTTTGACCTGCTGGTCACACTCCTTTTAATACAGCCCAGGATACAGTTGGCTTTCTGGGCTGCAAGTGCACACTGCCTGCTCATGTTCATTTTCCCATTGACCAACACCCCCAAGTCCTTCTCTGCAGGGCTGCTCTGAATCTCTTTTCTGCCCAACCTATAGCTGTGCCTGGGATTGCTCCGACCCAGGTGCAGGACCTTGCACTTGTCATGGTTAAACCTCATGAGGTTGGCATCAGCCCACCTCACAAGTGTGTCAAGGTCCCTCTGGATGACATTCCTTCCCTGCAGCGTATCAACCGGACCACACAGCTTGGTGTCATCGGCAAACTTGCTGAGGGCGCACTCAATCCCACTGTCCATGTCAGCGATGAAGATGTTAAACGAGACCGGTCCCAACACTGATCCCTGAGGGACACCACTCGTTACATCATTTTCATGATGAAATAATTAGCAAAGATGGAAGAAGGCAGTTGAATCACACTAGTAATACACTTCCCTCTTTGCACTTACTGGTTGGTAGAGCATACGTGCAGGGGGAAAACTGTTCAGTGAAGTGACAGCTCTCTCTTGCTCTTCCCAGGAGTTTATGAATATGTTCCCCTGGAAACAGGAGAAGGATCAAGACTGCAAATAAATGCTCAGAACTGTGTCCACTGCAAAACCTGTGATATTAAGGACCCAAGTCAGAACATTAACTGGGTAGTGCCTGAAGGTGGAGGAGGACCAGCTTATAATGGAATGTAAACTGACAGGAAGTCTATTCAATGACTTCTGATCACCAACAGATAAGTTTGGGAGTATTTTATGCTGCAGTGTAATTAAAAGTACAGCGCTGACTTGAATGTGTAACAGTTTGAGACTAATGCGCTGTTCTGAATTCTAGATATGACCGTTGCATTAAATGGAAAGTTGGTGCCTTCTGGTCAAACCCTTAGCCTTATTTAAATAGGACTTCTTTACAGGAGTTGTGTGGCAGGCAGAAGAAAGTTCTTCTCAGGACTGATGCAGGAACTTTGGATCTTGGATTTATTGCTGAAGTTCAGTGATTAACAGGAGCTATATCCAGAACGATGGGTATGGTGGAAGAATTTAGTACCTACCACTGAAAAAAAGTATTCTCTATCTGAAGTGATTTACTATATGTAATCCTACCTTGCAGTACGGGGTGGGGGGGGGGAGGAAAAAACTGTGACAGCTTTCTACACTGATGTAAAGTGTTACACATTTTACATCAAATTTACAGTTGCGATTTTGTTTTCCCCTGATGGTAATATGGAGCCCATCTGCAATACAACCTGTAAAAAACAAGTGTAATACTTGCACCTTCATTGTATGTAGCATTTTTATTCCTTAAAATACATCAGGCCCACTCTAATAAAAATTCTAACAGAAATCGCCTAAATTGTCTTGGTGTGAAACTATGCTTCTTAGGAAGCACTGTTAAGCTGCAAAAACACACCTGAGTGGCAAAACACAAGTTATTACAGCTTAAAAATAAAACCCACTTCACCTTTGAACAGTTTGTCTTTATTATTAGACTTCTGAGTTGTAAACACTGAAAACTGCAGCACAGGGCAAATGAACGAAGCGGCTCCATTTATCCTTTTGCATGAGTTAGTGCATAGATTTAGAAGTTTAGGAAAAAAAATCAAGCAAACATTTTAGCATAAGCTGCCTTCTCTTTCTCCTTCTGGGCTTTTATCTTCTGCTTGATTTTGAGTGTTTCCGTCTGGATAGCTGCTTAGAAAGAAAATCCACAATAAAGTTATGGTAATCTCTTTACATTATGTCTCTTAATATGTCAAGACCAGCTCATACTGCTGCACCTTACCCATGTTATTTCATTTAACAGAACTGCATTAATCTTCAATTAGGTCAGATACACTGGCAGCAAAAAACCTTGTCCCTACAGTAAAGTAACCAGGTAGAGGAGGATGTGGCAAGCACAGTACTGGTGCCAGCACAGAATTCATATGCCAAAAATCCTGTCCAATTAGACCAGGAAATTAAGTTAGTAAGACCTCTGTGACACAGAGAGATGGTTCAAGAGGCATATTGTTGACCTACATCAGCAGGTTACCCAGAGCAACAGAAGCATCACTGCTGTGTAAAACCAGGTGAGAATGCTTCAGAGGGCTCTGTCAGCACTGAAGTTGTTAGAGGCTAGCATTTTGGGCATGGCACTGGTATCAGTTCCTACAAAACACTACCCTGGTTAATTTGTTACATTCTTAGAAGTAAAGAATTTGTAAAGAAACAGCTTTATTTTACCTTTGTCTTCAGGGGCAATTTCATGAGCCTTTTTAAGATCAGCCTTAAATAAAAGAGAAACATAAATTAATGTTCTGATGAAGTGTTTAGCTAAGATAAAAATTCTATTAAATATTGTGATCATTACCAATGCCTGATCGAGATCTTTTACTCCCTGCCATCCTTGAGCCCGTCTGTAGAGAGCTTTAGTATTTGCTGGATCTATTTTAAGAGCCTGTAAATTTAATAAAATTGTCACATTAACATTTCATATACTTCACAGCCTCCCATCTCCACAAATGGCACAGTTCACACCAGCAGACAGTATCTCCAGTTGGTTTGAGGGTAAGCTGTCAAAACATTAACTGTGTAAAAAGGAATGCTCTAATGTAGCACACTGAATAGCCAGCTAATCAGTTTTAATACCATTGGACCAGGAGAGGCCTTTTGTGAAGAGCAAGCATACATTGAGGATAAAATGGAACATCTGTGTATGTATGTGCACATATAAATGTATGTATATATATATATATATATATGTATGTATCTGTTAAGGCAAAGTTGTTACTGCAGTTCAAATTATCCTAACCTTGAGTCTCACAGTATAAGTCTGTATTGCAGCTCCTTCCTTCACACCAAAAAAAAACCCTCAAATGGTGTCATAAATAAAACACACAGATTTCCTGTAAAGCTTTTCTCACTGTAGGCTAGAAAGATGCATCCAAGCAGTCCATCTAATGCTTCAGGAACCTTGCCAAGTTCTAGTCATTATGTCTCTTTTGAGCTGAAGAGTTTCACTAATGTGCATATATGCCAGTATGGCATATCAAAATAGGAAATGGTGGCTGGGCAAAGAAGTTGTTCTACTATTTATGATTACTTATTTTTTTGATGCACCTTAGGGAATTTGGCTAGCTAGCTGTTTCCTTTTCTTGCCTGTGAAGATCACGTTCTTTTTTCTTACTGCAGATAGCTCTACGGTGTGTCTTTTTATTATTTTAAAGAATATATTGGAAATCTGTTTGCATTAATGTATGGCTTCATTGATTCCACTTACTAACTTTAAATCAGTAATTAGGAATTACAAACACTGGACAGTGCATCCAGATTTTTTTACATCACTTCAGTACCGGCTGTCAATAAAAAGGCAGTATTGCTCTGGTCACCTGTCCTGACCTCTCTGCTATAAAGCCTGCATCTTGTTCTGTGTCAAGAATTAGGAAATGAGGTGTCTGTATCATGTACACGTAAGTAGCATTCCTTGGTTTTAGCTCAGCCACTGTACTTACAGCTATTTTAGAGTGAGGTTGGTTTGACTATGTTCAGCCATTTGCAATTCCTTATTTACACCAAATAACACATGTATTACAGGTTGTTAATTTAAATTGCTGGGGGCCTTAGGAAATCACAGAAGTGAAAAGTGTATAGTTTCTCATTAACAATTGCTCTGAACTCTCCTAGTTAACCTTAGGAAACTGCTGTTCTTACTAAAATTCTAATATGCTGTTTAACATTTGTTATGAGATGTAAGCTGACTACCTTGCAGAAATCTGTTGCAGCTATGGAGCTGGCTTTATCTAAAAATTCTGTAATCTTAAAGTGTGGGGATTTTTTTCCACAGTGGCACATATTGTGGTTAATAATTTCCATCTGTAACACTTAAATGCCATTTCAATTTTTACCATTCTCTAGATGACAGATATCACACTACACCGTTGTTTTATTTTCCTCATTCCCCATTTGTCCATTCTAAATATAGGCTTATGAAAGTTTTCCATGTGCTAACACCATCAGCAGGCTAGAAAGCAGGCCGGCTCTCTGAAGACCCTCACACACAGATGGGCCGAGACTCCTGCTTTCAGCATGAAGCCCTGGGAGGTTCTGCTCAGGATCCTCTACTAACAGATAAGAACATTCTTCAATCAGTTCCTTCAAAATTTCAGAGTTTTACTGAACTATTTAAAGTTTCCTCAAATGTACTAAATTCTGACAGTATGTCTATGTCACCATTCCTTCCTCTCCACCCTTTCATTTTATTATTTTTCAGTGTTTCCATATTTATTATTTCTTTCTTTCCTCCTATTCAGTGATTTCATCTCACTACTAAGCCTACCTGAAAGGGCTTTAGTTAGAATAAGGTACAAGACCATCAGTCTAAAAGCAAATAGAATGTTTTGCTCATGCTAGTCTTCCAGAGAAAAGTATTCCTCTTTCACTGAAGACAGTTTAACTTTGTAATATAAAAATCAGCTCTGCAAACCAAACTGACAGTGACAGTGTGCATTTTATCTGGCAGTAAGCAACACCCCTCTTTTGTTTGATTCTAATGAGTCATTTTCCATTTCAAAATCTTTTTTTAAAAGCCACGTACGGAAAAGTTAGTAATAACTTCACAGTCAGCCTTCCACTTTGTTTACTTTCAAATCATAAAGCTTGTGAGAAGACTCTGTAAAAAAGCTTCACAGTTGCAGTCTCCATTTTCTATCTAGGACAACTGTTCATCAAAATACTAGACATTAACTTTACCTCTGAACAACTTTCAATGGCTCCCTGCCAATCCGACAGTTTTAGTTTACAAGCGCCAATGTTTAGAATGCAGGTCAGAGCAACAGTTTTTAGCTTTGGTTTGTCTGCCTCCTCTGCCAGTGCTTCAGAAGCTTCTACATACCTGCAGAAAAACAGATTTACAAAGCACATGTATTAATGTTGCAACTCCCATTTTGTTTGGCCCTTAGCCATCTTTCTACAGGTATGTGCAAACTGGCCTATCCAAAGTGGTTATTTTTTAAGCAGTTTCAATTCCACTATTACAAGTATCTATTAAACTAAATATACAAGACCTATCCTGACAAGAAAGATTAACTCCCTGGTGGTGAACGTTTTCCTGTAACTCCTAGTCCTCCACTGTACTAACAGCATTCTTTTTCTTAGACAAATGCACTATTTAGATGGCATGAAACCATTAGGATTTCTCTCAGTGATTGTTTATTCCCAAAAACATGTTCTCATTAGTGGCAAAAAGTCAGCACTACCACTGCACCTTCCATGTTCATGGGAAGCTTCACCTCTTCTTCAGCTCCCTCAGCAATATTTTAATTGGTGTAGGAATCTATGGCTAAAATCAGAAGCTAACTTTATCTTGTAAAGGAGGGTGGTTTACGAGCATTAATAACTCCACCTTCTTTCCACTGTCTTCACAACCTTTTTCTTGAACTTCAAAACTGACACTAGTTCAGGACTAAGCCACATCATTTAGAGCATCTGTTTCATAGGAAAACTGGTAGGCAAACTGTAACTCATTCTTCTTGAATTATGGTGTGCTAATGCTGTCAGTTTTTATGTCAAGTTGCATACATTCACATTTTGAGCATGCCATGTTTAATGCTGTCTTTGCAGATCAGTGCCTATGTAAGTTCTATTTTTGCATGCCCTATGACTGTTGCATGGTATGTATGCAACTTTGGATCACAGAAATAAGCAATACTTAAAAAAGATGAGAACCAGCAGAGAGATAAAAGGGCAAAAAGCTAAGGAGAGTTATGTTTGAAATGAACATCTCTACTATTTATAAATCATACCAAAACATGAAAGACAACAAGAAGTAATATGGTGGGTTTTTTTTTTTAAAAGTGTCAATTCTTACATATAAAATAAATAAATAAAAATGTTTAAGCACCAGTAGGAGAGGAAAAAGAACATAAAAGTTATAATGGTTACTGTTGGTAAAAAGAAAAAAAACAACTGTCAGGATGGTTTGCTGGTGAGTTGTAGTTAAGACATGGGAGATACCGTGCCAAGAGCTATTCTATGCCTTTCAGTTCTGATGCAATGCCAGCTAACATACACCATTGTACATAAAGGTGTATACATAAAATACAGACAGTATTAGATTTTAGTACAAAACAACAGGGCGTGTCCACAAAAGTCTGACCTATATAGATCAGCTGGAAAGATCGAATTTGTTTACCCCACAAAAGTTAGTATCCTTCCAATCCACAGGGACAAACAAATAGGGACCAAATAGAAACCGTCTGCTCAGATTTGAAGAGCCTTCACTCCGTGTGCTTAAGAGTAAGCAAGGCAACTAATTGTAAGGGATGATACTGACCTAAGAATGGAGAGAAGAAATGGACAGCTACAACACACAAAGCCCTAAAGATCCATTTCATCCTCTTTTCTGGGTGATTTCTGAAAGGCTTACATAGAAATCCTATTTACTTTAGGTTTTCTGTTGGTCTATGAGGGGCTTTTTGAGGGCAGGTGGAAACGCTGCATCTTGGGTTAGTATCTGTAATTAACAGATACACTTTTATGGCTCAGAAAGACATTATTTGTTTGAATCCCAATCAGTTAAAAACTCAGCTGAAACATTAAATATGCCCAAATTCTTTTTCTTTCATTGTTGTTACTGCTAGTTAGCCAGTTATTATTGAGAAGGTAGGGATAAAGGTCAGTATAACTTGAAAAAAAAAAAAAAAAATATATATATAGGAGAAGCTCATAAAGTAAAAAGCATGAAAAAAAGAAAGGAGCAGTATGGAAACAAAAGCAAGACCGCCATGGTTCTGAAGACATAATTCTGAAGTATACGTGGAGTCAGGATGGTGGTATGAAGCCTCAGAAAAAATAATGGCAAATTAATAAGGGTCACATTTGGGCTACTCAAACTGACCTGTTTGTGAAACCTACTGGTTTTTAGAAATCTGAGAAAAAAGTATCTCCCTCCTTTCCTGTCCATTGACTACTCTGTCTACTATTGTGCTTTCTTCCCAGTTATGCACCAGCACACCAAGAGTATTAAAAAAAGAGCATTTAGTCAGTTCTAAACTATACTTCCTGCCTATAGCTCTTACCTATAGCAGTGAGTAGAAGACCTGCTTGAGTAAGTAGCTAAAAAACAACCACATCTTTTCCAGATTTAGAAGGCTCTTTGTTTAAAAAAGAAGAAAGCACAGCAACAGGCACTTTTTAAATGCACATATCATTGCTTGTTATCAGTATTAATTTGGGTTACAAGAACTACCTGATTGAATGATGATAGCCTTACCGTAAACTTTTACTATACTTTTTAGCTGCCAATGCCCAATTTTGCGATTTGAAGAAAGTATTTCCTATATTCTTTATGTCTTCTGCTATAGCCACAATCTTGTCAACCTAATAAAATAGATGGAAAATATAAAGGATGAAGGTACTTATGAAAGAAGTCTTGAATAACTTAATGTTTAACCCAGGTCCATCCTCTTTCAAAGATTATAAAATCTCAGAATAAAAACATTCCAATTGTAGACAAAGACTAGCTTCAAGCCACTCCCGTAAAATTTTCTACTTTATGTAACACAACAGTCTGAAAGATTAAATTCCTAATGGGTTTTCTACAGTATAAAGTGTGAGAAAATACCAGAAACAACATAGCAGTTCAACTCCTTCCCCTAGATGCTGCTACCCACAGAAAGCTATATATAAAGGTGTTGACCATTACTCATGTAAAAGAAGACATGTTAACAACCAAAGTATTCAACCAAGACTGACTTATTCCCCAGAAAAAAACTTGTCTTCTGCTTCTCAGAATGGTAAGAGTCCCCTGAACTCTGCACACACTCGAACTAGAGGTTTTTTCAACACAGTTCTTCTATCAAAACACTTAAAACACCTGTAGAAGGAGAAAAAGAACAACTGCCTGTCTTTATTGAATCCATCGTTTCCATTTCCAGAATGGCATACATTTCCAGTGGCAATTAAAGTTTGTAATTACTGCTCTCTATAGCACAGATGGCTTAAGCTCCATAAAATGTATATATTGCCCTTTGTAATGCTATCAGTTTACCCTTCTACTCTACTAGAATCAGTGACCTTGGAAAAAAACTAATTACAGCATGAGACCAATGTCATCATGGTTTCTGTAATTAGTTTATATGAACTAGTTTAAAAATGAAAGGCAGGCACCTGCCAACTTTAGTTCTGAACCACAGCAAATGCTATCTATCCTAAAACAATTTCACAGGCTGAAGTCGTTCTCAGTGGCCTTACACAAGGAGTGTCTTGGTTTCTAGCTGTAATGTTTCTTTGCTCTTCTATTTCCAATACTCTATTTGGAACCTACACGTGCAGCCTCCTTTATCTGCCCCTCTATAAATTCACTGATTTACAATTTGTCTATTTCACTTCATGATGAAGTAAAAACCTGCAGAAGAGCTGCTTCTACCAGTCTGCTCCCTAACTCTCACCATCAGGTCTCACTTCAGTTTGAAAAACCTGAGCAGCAAACAACTACTGGGAATTGAAAACAACTAGCTCTGATGTAGTGAAAAATCTTTTTTAAAGGCTGAACTTTTACTATTTCTAGTACGTGAAGCAAAATATTTTTAAGGGTGGATATTTTAAAAGTTGCACAGAAAAAGTGTGTAAGTACAACATTTAGTCATCTGCAGGATGGAGTTCCAGTAATTGCAATTTGTCACTACAGCACAAACAAGAGTAGAAAGAAATGAAGGACAGGAAAAAAAGTGCAGCAACTGTTAAATAATTGTTGTTTAAGTTAATGGGGGAAAAATCAGCTGCAATTAGTACTGGAAAAAAGAGAGAGCAATCCACTCCCACAGCATTCTCTTTCCTAAAACTGTCACCATTTAATCAGGACCTTGACTGATTCCGAAGAACAAAAGACTTAGGGAACATCATCACAGATACCATGTAACTCAGATTACCTACCAGGTTTACATTCTGTAAGATACCTTAAAAGAAAACTACTTACATCTTTCAAGTCCATATCTGAATCTTCAGGAAAATCTGGATGAGCATCTCCAGATCCATCCTGAGGCACAATTCCCCAGTCATCTCCTTCCTTTAGCTCTCCACATTCTGCAATGACGCACAACTGAAAAAATAAACAGAAGTGTTAGTTGTTAAGACAGCTTCCCCCCAAAACAGAGCTACAGCTGATGACTGCTCTTTCAAATTCAGTACAAATGCTTTTTCATCAGTTGTTTGGGTGCACTGATTTCAGAAACCCACCACTTCATTAGCCTACCCTCATCACAGAATGTTTGGGCTGGAAGTGACCTTAAAGATTATCAAGTTCCAACCCCCTGCCACAGGAAGAGACACATTCCACTAAACCAGGTTGCTCAAAGCCTGTCCAACCTGGCCTTGAACAACACTGCCAGGGATGGGGCAGCCACAACTTCTCTGGGCAACCTGTGCCAGTGCCTCACCAACCTCACAGGGAAGAACTTCTTCCTAATACCTAGTCCGAATCTTCCCCACTTTCAGTTTAAAGCCATTCCTCCTTGTTCTGTCCCTGCATGCCCTGGTAAAAAGTCCCTCTTCAGATTTCAGAAGGCTTTTGTCACACCAAGCATTAAGTTCAAAGGAGCAGCATTCCATGAATACCATACCCACGCTCCATGGAGAGGCTGGAAGAGGAACTGGCAGCAAGCTGAGCTGCAGCAGAACACAAGATATGGAAGTTCTACTGCGTTAGAGAAGACAGTTCTTTCTTAATCTACTAAGTCTTTTAAAGTTACAGAGGTACTAATGTTTCAAACCACAGACTGAGTTGACCTACACACCAACTGCTTTTCCAGAAATACAACAAGAATTACATATCCCCTAGGTAGGATTGTGAATTCCACCTTTTAATTCCACCACCCATCCTACACTTCTAGCTGTGCATTTCCACCTTCACCCTGGTAGAGGCTTCCACCCTCACAGCTGTGTTGAACAATAAATATTTCTTTTGTGCAGGGGAAATTTACAGCAAAAGAACAAAAGCCTCTTGACAAGGACAGCAAAATGGAAATTAACACTGTTCATAAAAATAACTGGCTAACGTTTAACGGTTGTAAGAATTACACCAAGTATTTAGAAGAAATGAATATACGTCATATAATGGAAGAATAAACATCATCTGTAGGTGCTCTGGATTTTGCTTACCCTAGCAGGAGTTTCTCCTTTCACTTCAACATTTTCCAGTATTTTAACTACTCCCATTCCTTTGATCACTTGGCCAAACACCACATGTTTCTTATCCAGGTGAGAAGTAGGCACCGTTGTAATGAAGAATTGAGAGCCATTAGTACCAGGCCCTGCATTTGCCATGCTCAGCAGCCCTGGTTTATCATGCTGTGTTGGGGAAAAGAAAATCACAGCATATAAAAGATCTATTATAAAACCATACAGAAGATCCTGTAAGGCAGTTAATATATACAGCAAGGACAGCCATAGTGGCAAGTTGGTAAACCAGTTACATATAGTTAGCAATTAATTTTACCCATCATGACTGAAGAGGGCAAATACCTAGCTCTGCACCTTTACTCGCCACACAGCAGTCCAGAAAGCAGAGCCGCCTGTGTGACTGGATGCTGTAACATCTGTCTGCTTCTGGTACATTCAATCCCTGCAGTGCTGCCAAGTTTGGACAGATCGCCTGAGAGACATGTGAAATTCCTCCCTGGGTTACTCAAGACCACTGGCCTTGAGAAACAAAGCTAAACACCACTTAAAGCAACTTCAAAGTTACACTCTCAGGATGGGTATGTACTGTTAATTTTATAAAGGCTGCTCACCCAAAGTATGTTGCAGAACTGTGGGGTTTATGGGTCTGTGGTCTTAATTATTTAAGGGTTGGGGGAGGAAGGGGGGAAGGTTAACTCCTTCACTTTCACAGACAGCCAGTTTTTATTCTCTTGCGATTTTTAACCATCTAATTATTTTGGCTTATGCTCCCAGGCCACAAGCTAACA